AATAGGCGTCCATAAAGCTCATCAAAGCATGGCCGGCTGTTGAGTCGACCAGGTTATCAATTTTAGGCAGAGGGTAACTGTCTTTAGGGCAGGCCTTGTTTAAGTCTGTGTAGTCTACACACATTCGCCAGGTGCCATTCGGCTTTTTAACAAGCACCACATTTGCAACCCAGTCTGGGAAGTAACATTGCCGAATGAACCCTGCATCAAGTAATTTTTTAACTTCGGCGGCTGCCGCCTGACTTCTTTCTACGCCATGGTTCCGCTTCTTTTGCCGTACCGGCTTCTTTTTCGGATCCACGGCCAGTTTATGCACCGCCAGATCAGGACTAATGCCTGGCATTTCATGGACTTCGAATGCAAAGATGTCCTTGTATTCTTTCAATAGTTTGTGAAAGTCGTCACCAAGGTCTCTCAGAGCAGTCGTCCCAACTTTGACTGTTCGGTCAGGACGAGAGTCGTCTAAGATCAGGTCCGCATGCTCACCAGCCGGCTGAGGGCGGAACTCATCCGACCGCTCCTCTGCCACTGATTGCTATTTTCTTTCTTTTCTTGCGGCCCCTGTTTGGGATGCCTTTCTCTTCTTGCCGCCTGCTTCTTGAACAGGCGCACTGTCCTTGACATTGTCAATGTCTGTTTTTTCACCGCTTGACCCAGTGGCCATAACAGTGGGCTTGATATCCGAGAGATAGCACTCTCGGGCCATCCTCTGATCTCCCCTTAGGGAGCCGACTGTTCCATTATCCCTCTCAAACTTGAGCAACATAAGAGACGGGATTATAACAACCTTGGAATTATTCAGGGTTGGTCGACCCATAATTATGTTGTAGGCCGAGAGTTCTTCTACTACCAGGAACCGGATAACCATGTGTCGTCCTTCCCCTTTTTCGCCCAGGCGGATGGGTAAATCCACTCGTCCCAGTGGGTGGACGACTCCTCCTCCAAACCCTACTAAAGGGTGGGAGGTCGGATGTATGCAATCAGTCTGATATTTTAGTTTCGACAGACATTTGCTACTGATGAGATCTGAGGAGCTGCTGGTATCTATGAGGATTCGACCAACTCTCTGGTTGGCCACTTTACATTCAATAACGATAGGGTCGTCATGCGGCCCTCTTACCCCTCCTAGATCTTCTTCAGTGATGACAATCTCAGGAAATGAATATTTGGACGGCCGTTCTTGGTGAACGGAATTTACATCTAACCGCCTGATATTGTCTTTGTTGCCCCTAATAGTGGGGCCGCCTCCTGAGAAGCCGCCTGCAATGGTGTAGACGACTGCATCATCTGTATCAGAGCTGTCGGCCTGTTGATTCTTTTTGGCCGACTGCTTTTTTGAGGAAGTGTTCCCCGTAGATTTCTTGACATAAGTGTCAAGATCACCTTGCTCAGCCAGGCGGTCCAGATACCGCATGAGACTGATGCAGTCATTGGTGTGATGACCAACATCATCATGATAAGCACATAATTTATCTTGGTTCCGGTTGTTTGCAGAACCCTTCATGGGGACCGGCTTCTCAATTGAGATCCGTCCCTTGATTTCTTTTAGGATAAACTGGTTATCCTTGTTAAACGCATACTTTGGGGAGTATGGTTTGAATTCTTTTTTCTTTTTCTGGGCCGGCTGTTTAGAGGAATCAGCCGCCCATACCTCTTTTCTCTTCTCATCTTTGTTTGACGACTGTTTATGTCGTCCTTCTCTTTTGTCGAACCTTTTCCCGTCCGACTGTTTTATCGTACAAAGATCAGTCGCCTGTATATAGGCTTCTGCTTCAATCAAGGCCTCTTGAAGAGTCGCCACCCTCTTTCGAACCAAATCAAATTTGAAGGTAGACCCGTCTTTGAGACCTCTGAAAAAGTCAGTATAGGCTACCTCATCCGGTAACCCTTGAATCTGTATTCTCATCAGGTTAAACCGCCTGATGTAAGAACGAAGTCCCTCCTTCTCGCCCTGCTGAATTGTTCCTAAATCAAGGGTCGTTTTCTTCGCAGGGATGTTCATGGCGAAGTTGGAGGTGAATAAGTAAGCAAGCGTCCTGAAGCTATTTACACAACCAGTCGGCAGGTTGCCGAACCATTGTTGTGCGATTCCTTTGAGAGTCGCTGGGAAACACTTGCACCAAGTGGGATCATCCAACCCTTGAAGGTACATCAGGTTGGTGAATGCCATCAGATGGTCTTCTGGGTTAGTAGTGCCGTCATAGGCGCCTACTAGTACATTTTTCACTTTGGCCGGCTGAGCGGCTTCAGTAATTTCCTTGGAGAAGGCCGACGGCTGTTCACCAAGTCTAAGCAACCGTAGCTGCCAGTCCATAGGTTGGACGTTTTTTGCTGCAGGTCCACCAAACGGAGGTGGCTGCAAAAAATACTATTGTTGAGGCACAAATGGTAAGTTTGGTACCGCCTGGTCGCTATGAAAGCCGGACTGACGGGAGGTACCGCCTGACTGACTCTCACGATACGATTGAGTATGCCTCATCGAGGCATTTCGCAGGCTATCTTGAAAGTTTGAAGTAGAGGCCGACTCTGACAATCGGTCACTCTTCTTCTGTTCTAGCAGTAGCCGAGCGTCTGTGAATGTCTGCTTCGACCCGTCCGCCTGAATATGACGAACGGGTTTCCTATTTCCTGTAGGAACACGGAATTTTGTGAAATCAAGGGCAGGTGGCTCCCGCTTCCTAGATTTAGGATGAGGAGTCGCCTCTCGCCCTTGAACTGGCTTCCTCTTCAGTGAAGTGGAGGGTTTCTTAGCCGACTGCTCCTTTACTGGAGCAGGCGGCTTCTTGTTGATCAACTCTTGAATCTCTCCCTTGAAGTTCCTCATGAAGGTCATGAGTTCGTTCCTTGTGATGGGAGCAGACCCATCAGTCGGCTGTTGCCGAACAGGCGGTGCGCCTGCTGGCTCGCTTCCTGTTTGAAGATGTTCCCGTTCCCTCCAATCTGTATGACGGGTACGTCGGGCCCTTAGGGTCCCGTCTGAAGCTGTGTGAGCTTCAACTTCAAATTCACTCTCGGTATCATGGTCCGACTGAACTTGAGGGTCGTCTAGGGGACGCCTCTCTTCAGGAGTCGGTACAGACTTGGATGCCATCTCAGAAGTACTCTCCCCACAGACGGCGCCAAATGTTTCGGGGTTTTTTGATGTCCTGCGGGAGAGTTACAATTCCGAGACTGGAACCGGACGCCTGTACCTGCAAAATAACGGAGACTCCTGGGAGCTCCGCCTCCAACGGTCAAGTTAGTACTTGATTAAGGAGTAATTAATGCGGAAATTAAAGTGATTGGGTCTCTCTAGGTGAGAGTGATTAATGTAGGTAATCTGCTTTGTTAGCGAGATCAGCCGGTTATTACTGTGTGTAATTAATGTGTTTTTTCCGTAATCTCCCTTAATGAGGATTAAGGGAGGTATTTATAACCTTGGGAAACGTGCCCATCCTAGGTTTAGGTTAACCTAGGGCCGATTGGGCTTCCCTCGGAAGTTGGGCCTGGGTGGCCTGTTTCTCCATTAGGCATGGAGTATGCCACATGTCATGACATAATAGGTCCAAGGTGGACGAATAAGCGCGTGCCACGTGGCAAGCCCTGACAGTTCCAACTGGGGGACACTTGGCAGGACCTGATTGGCCCACGTGGCGCATTCCGATTGGTGGGAGCAAAATCCCCTAATCAACAGCAATGCCAAACAAACTCTAAATAATTATTTTATCCCATTAGTGTTTTATGAACTGTATTTGCTTTGCTAAAGTTTTCTTAAACCCCCTTGTTTTTACTCTAACGTTTTTTTTAACTATTGTACTTCTTTTAAACTTTCTTGAATTTTGTTCTTGATTCTCTTTTAAAACTTTCTTGAATTTTATTTTTGGTTTTCTTTTAAAACTCCCTTTATTTTTCGTGAAGGCCTTTTCTTTTACTCACCTTTTTCAAACTCTTTCAACTAATTATCCTGTTATGTCCCTTCTTTATATCGTACGCTTCTCTTGTGATAATTCATGTTAGCCAATCCCAAATTAAATTAAAGCTTGTTGTTATTGTTGTTGTAACCAATTAGCTAAGTAGTGATAATAGATAAATACATGGTAGTTTAATTATGCATTTGGTGCAAAATATTATTTTCAACTATAATTTGATACGAGTATGTTTTTCTTCCTTTAAAATATTTTAATTTATGCATTTGATAAGTGTAACACTTATTAAAACATGGAATAAATAAATACTTGAACAAACACTCCTCACATTCGTAATAATTGCTACAATTTATTTTTACATATATTTCGTAATAATTCCAATACATTCATATTTGGAAAAGGATACACTTATATTACTCCGTATTATCTAATATATATCTATCTCTTCTATTAATCCCATTTTCACAAATATTTATTTTTTCTCATACCAACCTACTAATAGAACTTTTTTATTTTATTATTTCTCTTTCCTATTAGACCCTATTATTTTCCTAAAACTTTATTCATAACATAGGGCATGTTATCTTCAGCTTAATTTCAGTGCAGTTCAGTCCAGTTCATGATTTCCTTTTGCTAAAAAACAATTAAGTTCAGTTCAATTCAGTATAGTAAATCAGAACAAACCCATAGTGTTGGGATTATATTATTATGAAAAAATTTTATATACACCCGATTTACGCTAATATTAGTGTACATCGAGCAGTATAAGGGTAATTTTAAATTAATTTTAGTGTAATCTTTTGTTTTTTTAGGTAACTTTAAAACATATACGAAGTACAATTTTTATATAAATAGATAACCAGGAAAGTTTTACAAAGGTAATTTAATTACATTAAATCACTAATAATTGATTTTTAGTCATTTCAAATGTGATTCTTTACTAATAAAGCGTAAATAATTTTTATTTATATTGGGTTACTCTTAGACCCTCTCCAATTGTGAGATTCAAGTAAGTATTTTTAGGAGAGAAAGAGTATTTTTTGCAAAGTATACCAATAAGTTGGTATCTAAACTTAGTACCTCCAAAAAAAAGTTGCTAAGTTTAGATACTCAACTTTGAGTCTTATTTGACAAAAAGTGTAGGCCCTTGTCAATATTCTAATATATTTTGTAATTTATTTAAGTTTTACCTTTTTTTTTTAATTATTTTTTAATCTTACAAGGCTATAAATTAAAAGTGACATTTGTATATTTTAGAGAGTCTTACCATTGAAAAATTAAACTTAACTTGATTTGTTAAATTGAAAAGTGAATATGATCTCACCATTGAAGGTAAAAAATAACTCATTTTGTATTTTAATACTCAAAGTTAAGTCTCAACATTGGAGATGGTCTTACGCCTATTGAAGTAACTTTTATTACATAACGGAAGGAGTAAATCCAAAAGAGGCCTAGCCCATTAACCCACAAATTTGATTTTTTACTTCTCGACTTTCTCACTTGCCAAGTTTCCACGCGCCACCATGTACAGCCGAATTGTCCTTTGAATCCCAGAATTTCTGAACTCTGACGATTCAACATTTTTACGCAAAGCTTACAAATTTTTCCTTCTATACTGTACGTGTACAGTACAACTCTCATGTTTTCAAAATTTTTACCAAAAGGGTAGTAATGATCATCCTCTATTTCAAAAAAAAAAAAAAAGCCAAAAAAGTGAAACAAAATGATCAAAATTGAATGACTAAACGATGAAGAGGAAGGAATATTGCAATAATTCTGGACAATTTTCCACATATTGTCTAGAAAATTCATCTGGGTTTAACAACCACAACAATAAGAAGATCAACAATTCAAGAACAGCAGCAGCAATATCATCTGGCCAACAATTCCCGCTCACTCATTGTCGTTGCGGAGGAGGTTTCTGCAAAATCAAAATCACTCCTAAAACTCAGAAACTTTTCTACACTTGCCCAAATGTTTATGTTAGTGTCCCAATTTTTCTGGGCTACCCTTTCTTTTCTTGTTAATTCCCTAAAAATTGTATCTTTAAATTACGGTTTTTGTGTTTTTAATTAGGGTTTTTGATTGGTTGCAGGAATTGCATTGTGGGTACTTCAAATTTTGTGAGGATTTGAAGGAAAGGGAGATTTCGCATGATCGTCCTAAGCCTTATCCGATTTGTTCATGTGGGGCTGGAGTTTGCAGGGTTGAAACTGAAAAAGAAGGCCTTAATTCTGGTCGAAAGTATTTTGCTTGCAGAATCAAAAGGGTAAGCTTTTTTCTGGAAAAATTGAATGAATTTTATTTTTTAATTATGTGTTTTGATTTTATTGGGACCACTGTTTGAATTGATATTGTAGTGTTAATTTATGTTTTTGGATGTTGACCGTTAAGTTTGGATTTTGGTATTATTGAATTGGAATTTGGAATGTTGGTGATGTTAATGACAGACTCATACTTGTGGAAAGTGTGTAAATAAGTTTGAGAAAATGATGGAACGGACAGAAATGAAAAGTGTGAACTTTTTTAGATAGGGGGGAGTGTTTAGCTGTCCAGTAACTTAAGAGTTATGATCAAGGTAAAATTACACCATTCTCCTAGTTGTCATTTTGGTATGATAGCCAACATCGAACCTCTTTATGATTTACATCTACCAATGCTTTCAAGAAGTATTGTACTCCGTAATTGTATTATCCACTATTAATAATGTTTTGAATTTAATAGTATGTCGAGGGATCTTGGTTATTGAGCTGGACCGGATGGATCTTATGACATCTACACCTATTATGGTGTGATATCACAAGTTTCTCCCCTTTTTAAAAGCAAGGGTGTTTTTTTGACTAGTGCCTTGCTCCAATTCTGTGTTGAACCTGTTGATCATGTATGTAAAATTGTACATTTGTGTATTGGGAGTAAGGGAGAACCGGAGAAGGGCTTAATGGTGAAGAAGGTTGTTAACTTGTCGTTCAATCTCTAATGTTGATTTAGGTTGATATGAGGTGATATTTAATGTGTCACATTGATTACAAAAGGTTCTTATGGTAACGGAGATAAGGAGGACAGACTGACATGAATACATTGAGGTTTGGTAGACATTGGTGGAGATGTGTTATTAAGTGTATATTGGAAGTTAGTATAGTGTAGAACCATGGAACAGTAACCTTGACTCTTTATGTAACAAAGAACCACTTAGCCTACAAATAGTATAATGTCAATTTTCAAGTGCAGCTGTATAGGTGTATGGCACAAAGTTTTAGCTCAATGATTTCATGGCCATGGGGTATCAACAGATTTTAACCTCAGATGAACTAGCTTAGGTATGGGATGGGAGTTACTTAGCTACCCAATGCAAGCCCAAAACAATGTTAAAGGGAAGTACCAGTGGAATCTAGTCATATACGGCACTTTTTAAACTTAGAATGGAGGTAAACCAAACACATTGCCAAGATACCTACTGGCTTTATCCAATGCAGTTTGCACTTAATTAACTCCTAAGAGAATGACAACTAATCTATCAATTTATGTTTCTTAGAGTCTTCAATTCGCGTCAAATACCCTTGTTGGATCCTCGTCCCTTGTTCTAATATGGCTGCAAATCCCAAAAAAATTCTGTCACTCACAACCATGAACACTTGTGAACTTGAGGTAGTTTCCATTTACCTGAGTTCAGTTACACAACTTTGCAACAGAATAGTATTGCATAAAGGGGTTTATAGCTTATGCTGAGGTTTTGATTGGACAATTCGTACCGATGAATTTTTCCAATCATTCTTATCCTTGTAGCCGTCTTAGGTCTAATGCTTTTCTCTTGCAATCATTTGATTATGATCTTCCTTCCTTATGTAGTTGAGATATCCAAATGTCTATTCTTAAATTGGCAATCCCCCATCTAAAACGTCTTCCCCTAGTATCTTAATTTGGCTGCAATTCCATTAAATTATCTCATTATCTATCGTTATTAATTAGTAACTTGATGTTATTTTCATTTATTTCTTGTTTCCTTGGATTTTAAATATTGAGCTTGCTGGCTCTTTTTAGCTTAGTCAACTTTGTGAATTTATACTATTGTACAGGGAGAAGGTGCTTGCAATTTCCGGCAATGGCAATGTGCCACTGCTTATGATAATAGCATAAGCAATGAGATTGAGATGATTCGCAAAGAATTTGAAAATGGTGAAATTGATCTTGACTTTCCCCCTCCTCTGGAGGAGGCCCTTGAAATCAATTCTTCAGGTGAAATGTTTTCTAGGGACAATGATGCTCATCATAGTCCTCAACCAAGTCCCAGTAGCCCATTAGATGTAGAGGCTCTTGCACCAATGGGTATATACTCTGTTTTATGATATTTCGTAAGCTTAAATTTTCATTTGATTCTGATATCATATGCTTCTAACTTCAATTAGAATTATAAAGATTTATTTGATGTTTGTATTTGCCAGATTTATCAGCAGGCTCTCGTTGTGTTGTTGTGAGGTGGCTTCCCCACAGTTGACTCTTCATCAGAAAGCTTTTTTTTTTTGGGTAAGAAGGTTGAATCACATGTATAGAATTTGTACCATCATTTTATCTAGCTGCTGCTTTGAAATTTCAGTAGCCTCCATATGTCTTTACTTAGAGATCTTGCTTCTCATTATATCACTTCTAATTTAACAACAATTTCCTTGGTTCAGACTACTAATTTCCTTGGTTCGTATATTCCGACAATTACTTGACAGGAAGTATAGTTTGGAAAAGTTTCAAATGTTTTGGTCTATTCTTAGGAGTCTGCTGCTTTTAACACGGTCCTGTCTTAAAGTGAGCCAGAGGGTTTAAAGATGTCGATGAGAACTGTATTGGGGTCTTTGGTGACAAATGAGGCTATTACATCAGAAGTTTTATTTTAGAAACCAGGTTCAGACTGCAGTAATTTCTCTTGGATGTTAAGCGTCATGTTGCTAACCAAATATGTATTTAACTAATTTAAGTGTGAAGTTTGCTGATACCTTTTTACAAGTGAGCGTGCCTAAAATTTCTTTACCTAAAGAAATGTTGTTTGTAAATAAAGGTCCTCTACTCCTATATTTGTTGAGAAAATCCAAGGCTTGTTTGGTTGAATGTAGGAATTGCAAATTCCTTGAAAATTTATTTTGTCGTGAAATTGAACTTCCTAGAAAATTCTAAAATGTATTTGGTTCAAGGAAAGTGGAAATTTCCATGGAAAGTTCAAATTACTTAGGTCCCCCTAGGTAATTTACTTTCTCCATTTTGTGGAAAGTGGGAATTCATGGGAATTTCTATTTCCCATGAATTTGTCAATCAAACAACTTCAAACAATTTCAATTTCTAGGAATTTCAACTTCCCATGTTTTTAGTTGTTACCAAACAACACCTAAGTTCATCACCTTGATAAATGTATGATGTTTATTACTCCCTCCCTCATTGATAGTCCCTTTTGGCTAAATTTTAGTCCTAAAATGTTCATCTTATTTGCTTTTTCCAACAACCATTAAATTAATTTTTTTTTACCAAAATTTCTTCCAATTTGCAACAATATTTGTGTAAATTTAACTTTTCCATGTAAATTTTGTTTTTCCATATACTTTTATGACTTTCTCTCTCTATTTTTTTTACATACCCAATTTAAATTTATCTTTTCAATGTACTTTTACTACTACATATTTATGTTTATTAATTCCTGTGAAATTTCCCCATAAGGGACTTTCAATAAGGGAAGGAGGGAGTAATTATTTTGTGGCATAATTATAATCAAATATGCCTTTCGTCTCCGATTGATAGTCACTTTTGTCATTTTTGGTGACTTAAAATGTTAGTCACATTTGCTTTTTTCAAGTACCATTAATATTATTTTTTCACTAAAATTTTTTAACATTTGCAAATATATTTGTGTAAATTTAACTTTCCAATATAAATTTTACTTTTCCATGTACTTTAATTACTCTCTCTATTTTATTGCATATCCAATGTAAATTTACTTTTTTATTATATTTTTAGGTTAATCCCGTGCGATGCACGTTTGTATAATAAGAATTGAATTATAAACTTTTAACACATATTGAAATAAAATAACTACTTCCTCCGTTTTCCTAATTAATTTTTAATTAAATATGAATATACAATTCTCAAAAGTGCATAATTTTTATATTTAATTAGGAAATTTCAATTAAATTATATTATTAACTATTGTTAACAAATTATAAATAACTAAATAACATAATATCTATAGAAAACCAAAAATTTAAAAATTCAAATGGAATTTAATTTTCAAAGCAATGTTAAATAGGGTAGCTTGTAAAGGAAAAATATGACATCATCCATGTATTTTGGAGGGAAAAAATAAAATAAAAAAGTGACATGTAGGCAGTGATGACATCAGCGGTTATTACTTTAGTATATACTACCTCCGTTAATTATTTGTGAGATATAAAATATTCCTTTATTGCAAATAATAGTTAACGGAGGTAGTATATAGATTGGTTTGGGTAATTTTGTATCTAATTGATGGTGAATTTGTGGGAATGTTGCAAGTTAAAATTTGCTATCTTTGTCTTTATAATGGATAACAATGTTCTTACCTTTGTCGTTGTTTCAGGTTGTTGTATAAATGTTTGATGATATTATGGATAACAATGTTCGCGTTGATGTTAATGTGAGTTGCGCTCCCACTGGTAATGGGGTAATGGTATAGCTTGAGAGTACTTCATGGGTGATGAGATGAGAAATGTAATCTAATTCAATTGAAGAAAATGTTATGTTAAATTTGAATGAGGACAATTTCATATAAGCTACACAAAAAATCACCTATAGAGTAACATTTAAAGTTCAGGCGTTACTAAAATTTGTGAAGCCCTTATTGAAATTTCAGAAAGTAAACCTCTAAAACAAAGCACACAGCTCCACCAACAATGATGAGTTAAATTTGCGGTAAATGTACACTATTGTAGTAAATACTACCTTCGTTACAAGTTATGTGCAACAATTTGACATAAAGCAGAGAGGGAAAATATCTAATCGTTGCACATAACCTATAACGGAGGTAGTAGGAAAATTTGTTAAAAATAAACTATTCTTTACGTGGTTAGTTCAATAAAAGCTAACTTTTCGATTAACTTAAAATAAATTAAGTTTTTAGGGGTATTTTCTTTTAATACTCGGGTAAGTCAAATGACTTGCGGTCTACCAAACATGTCTTTTTTTTATTATTATTATTAATAGTATTTTGTTATTTTAATTAAATGTTTAACTATAATTATATTAAATAAACAAATTATATATAAAAAAAAGGCTAGCCACCCTCGAACCCCCCTATTCCCACCCATTACCAGCTTCTCTCCTCCACTGTCTATGGTGAACCCATCCCCTCCCTTCTCCAACCCAAAAGCGATCACCCCAAAACCCCAAACCCAAACTACCCAAAACGGGTTTCGTTTAGGGTGGTTTTGTAACCCATTTTGGGTGGTTTTGTAGGTTGGGTTTGGGAGTGGCGTATTTGGGTGGAGAACAGGATTAAAGATCTTTTTAAATTTGTCTCGATTTGTACAATTTTGATATCAAATGTTTATAATTTTATACTCCGTATATTACTCATTAAAGATATTAGCTATTCCTTCTGATTTAAATACTTGATACACTTTTTATTTTCGGTCGTTTTCAAATACTCGCTTTATTTTCTTATTTGGATAGCTTTTATAATATATAATAAGGAAATTCCTCCCATTTTGAGGGCATCTACAATTCATTTATTACAACAACCTTACATTTTCTCACATCAGAGAAAACACCTAATCTCAAAATCTGAGAATATCTCACTTTTACCTTTTCCGTACTTTTTTTGTACTCTTTGACCGATACTAACTTGATCATCGGAAGCGAATTTCCTACCAACTGGAGTCTCTGTATTTTGCGGGGTAGAGAGCGCGTCGGACCAATCTTCAAGCTATAATTCTCTCGAGGGATAAAAACACCCAAAACAATTCTCTCTCCTCCCATTTACTTTTCCCTAACCTCATTTCTTTATATTTTATTAATATATCTAATTTCTCGTAAAAACTCCGCTAATAGAGGAATAAAACAAGTATTTAAAAATAAAGGAAGTATTTAAATAATAAATCATGAAGCATATAAAGAAAAGTATTGCAAGTATAAAGCTATACCCCTCCGTCCTATAATATACTCCCTCCTCCCCTATTTATAGTTTCCATTTGGAGTGTGCACAGTTGCCAATGCAACACTTTGACCGTAAATATCACTAGTTGCTTATTAGTAAAATAAAACAATTAAATATTAATAATCTATTAATCGAGACGAATCAAATAAGATCCAACAGATCCAACATGACTATGTTATATCTTATATATTAAGAGTAATTTAGAAGATTCTCTCACATTATGAATAATGTCAAAATTATAAATGGGAAGTATAAAAAGGAGCGGAGTGAGTAGTTTTTGTTGGTGTTTTTTCACGGTATTTAAGAAATAGGAGGAGGAAATAGATAAAGTACATTAACACAAGTAAAAAGTACAATCATAAACATTAGAGAGAGAAAGGTGAAAAAAAGTACAAGATATGTGTGAATTTTAAGGATAAATTAGGAAGTATAATGAATAAAGTTAAAAAGTGAAGGTATAATAGTCTTTACACAATTCAGAAATGGAAACTGGGACAACATTTTGGTTCACCAAAATAGGAAAATAGAAATTATTAGCAATCGCTGATGTCATCTTTTTTTTTCAAAGTTGTACACGTTGCACTATCTCATGAAAATATTTCCCGCTAAAATGCTTTTTTTTTAAAAACAAAATACTAAATAATTTTAAATAGGTAATAGCTATTATTTAGGCAATTAATTTAAAATAGGTACCTATTTTTTGTAATTTATGTTGACATTAGGTTGTTGGAGTCTATAGGAGTTGTCAGCATAATTGAGGTCAATTAAAGTTAACTTATGAACATTTTGAACTCAAAAAAATATAAAAACAAAATTTTAAAAAATCCAAAGATCAATTATTGTGAAACTCCGTATATCATTAGATTTGTCATAGTGTCTAGTTTCATAATAAAATTTTGTTTTAATTTTTACTAACTAACAATTAAAGATATTAATTTTTACTAAATAACAATTAAAGATATTAATGGTTAAGGGACGTTACATGTGAGGGGGAGTGTTAAAGTTTATCCTACCAAATAACACATGTAAGTGTCCCACATTGATAAAAGATGAGAGAGTTAAACACTTTATAAGACTAAGGGGCTACTCCTTCTATTGCGATATGGTTTTGGGATGGAACCTCCTTAGACTTGTGAAGTGGACTCTCACTCTTGGTTTGCGGGTGCGGCCCAAACCCGCGTTTAATATGGTATCAGAGTCGGCGTGACACAAAGGTCACGGGTTCGAATCTCTTCCGCCCCTCCTTCAAAGTGGAATTAATTCGCACCAAGTATGCGTGGGCCTATGTTGCATCCACATTTCAATTGATTTAGGAATTGCAATTATTGATGGGTTTTGATTGTGATTCTCTTAGTTTGTTATTGTAGACACCCAAATGTGTCTTCCCAAAACCAAACCCAGTGATGAGTACATTTCACGTCGAATCATAATCGAATGAAGTGAAAGTGTGGAAAGTTTAGTGTCGCGGATAGTTTTAATTTCTTTTCTCTTCTCTCGGTTTTTGAAAACTTATTTTAAGAAAACAGTCAATCCAGTTTGGTTGATCCATGATATGGGTTGAATAATAGTGTAGTTGGATGGAGCTTGACAAGAGCTTTCCAACGATATATTATAAGCCCAATTCCGATGGATATTGAGGAAGTTATGGCCAATTTACTAAACTGGGCCCGGTTTGAGCCTTATATGCGGCCCAATGATCTAGAGGAGGGCCTATTATGATTTATCATTCCTAATGCAATTAGGAATGGTTTTAGTCTTCTAGATTCTTCTAGAAAGTTCTTTTCATTCCTAATTAAATTAGCATTGATAAATTGACTTTTGTTGGCTTTTCAGAGTTTTAATTAAAATCAAAAAGCATTTTCAAGGAAAAGATACGATTTTATCATCCAGTACGACAAATTTATCTGATTTTCGAAAACGCGTCAAAAACAGGACTAGCGCCAGACGCTAGGCATTGGCGCCTGGC